CGTCGTTTTCTATCATCACGCCGGCGTGGTTCTCAGCTGGTCACTGGGGTCGTCAAAACTCGATGTCCTCTATGACTGCGAGGGCCGCTTGCCCCCCACCTCTGCGCCTGGGCCTGCGCCGTCTGGGGAACTGCGTGAGGCTCGAAGAACTGGGCCTGTTGCTGCCGCTCGGGACCATATGGTAGAACTGCGCCGTGGAGCTGCGACCTGGACAGGAACGCTCAACACGAACACATGTACGGCGAGGCAACCGTGACGGTAGCTAAGCGCGCTGATATGGAGGGCCACCAGCAAGGCAATGAATGTATGCTGGATTGGTTGGCAGCTCTACCGTGCTTGTTGCTGCAATCGAATGAACCCAGCTGAAGATCGGACATGGAAGCCTACACCGCTCAAGCATTTATGGAGCAACAGTGTTGGCCTTGAGCCAAAACGGCTACGGATGGAGGAAGATGAGGATGATGAGAACAAGGAGGAGGAACAGGAGGAGGAGGAGGAGGAAGAGGAGGAGGGGGAGGAGGAGGAGGAGGAGGAGGAGAGGAGGAGGAGGAGGACAAGGAGGAGGAGGAGGACGCGGAGGAGCAGGAGGAGGAGGAGGAGGAAGAAGAAGAGGAGGAGGAGAAGCAGGAGCAGGAGGAGGAGGAACAGGATGATGATGAGGAGGAGGAGGAGAAGGAGGAGGAAGAGGAGGAGGAGGGAGGGTCACGGAGGAACGGGAGGAGGAGGAGAGGAGGAGGAGGAGGAGGGAGGAGGAGGATCAGGAGGAGGCAAAGGAGGAGGAGGAGGAGGAGGAGGAGGAGGAGGAGGAGGAGGAGGAAGGAGGAGGAGGAGGAAAAGGAGGAGGCGGAGGAGGAGGCGGAGGAGGAGGAGGGGTCACGGCGGGGGGGGAGGAGGCGGAGGAGGAGGAGGAGGAGGAGGAGGAGGAGGAGGAGGCGGAGGAGGAGGAGGAGGAGGAGGAGGAAAAGGAGAGGGAGGAGGAAGAGGAAGTGGAGGAAACAAGAGGAATACGAATAATAACATGACGGGGAGGACAGCGTTGACGACAACGACAATTACCGTTTTTTTTCCGGAAATGATCCTATCTGTCGATGGGGGATTGCCTCTTGACCTTCAATGTCCTTGATGCCCGCTTTCTTTCTCTCTCGCCCCTCCGAGCGGACTTGGGGTGGCGCACCACCTGCGCAGGGGGGAAATCGCGTTGGATGGTGGGATAAAGCTCTCCTGTGCGGGGCTTGGGGGGTGGGGTGGCCCGCGTGGATGGCGTCGCGTTATTTGCGTGAGGGTGCCGGAACGGGCTGTCGGGCGGGATGGCATAGGGGGCTGCTTCTGAAACAAGTTAGGGTACGTAGTCAGCGTCCCCTCGCCTGTCCCATTTTCCTCTCCTAGCCTTTCCTCCTTTTCCTTTCCTCCACCCCTCTCTTTTTGCTCCCCTCTCCACTCGTCGGTGGCGCCGCTGGCGACTCTGAGCTCCCACCGCAAGAGGAAGAAACATTGTGGGGGTGCGGGGACTGAGGGGGGGATTGCGGTCCCTGAAGGCCCCCAAATGCTTCTGCAGTGGTCGCTGTGATTTACAACCGTTGCAAGGTGTTTGCAGCCCTCTTGCAAGGCACTTGGAAGTGGGATGCAAGTCCGCCTAGCTGTTCCAGGTTTGGTCCACCTGGCAGTTCGGCGGACTAGCATCCCAATTGCAGGCGCCTTGCAAGCTGACTGAAACCACTTTGCAGCTGTTGCAGCTGGTGCAAGTCGAACCGACCATTACAGTTTTGCAGGTCAAAAAACCAAGACGCCCCGACATCTGAGACCTCGAGGGTGGCGGAGTGAGGGTGGACGCCTGGAGCCTCGGGCCCCTCCTGAAGCAACACTTCCAGGGGAGCGTCTTAAACCTCCAAGCAACGCCTCCAGCATCAACACTTCAAACGCAATCGTGCTGGTGGCTGGTGTGTGTGGGGGCGACTGTCGATGAGGGGAGGGGGAAAGGAATGGCGAGGCGGATGACGAAACATGTAAGACGAGTGCACGGTACGAACAAATCGGACACGGACAACCCGGGCATATCTGAGAAAACGTGAACTCAGAGGATGTATGGGCGTCGCGGCCGTTCCATAATGTCCCAGAACTCCTTGACTAGCCTTGGGGCAGCTTGTCCGCGCGGTTCGAAACCAGAGAAAATACGAGACCTCCCGCCCTTAGAGGAATCGACCGTAGAGCCCTGCAACAATCGGCCCTCGGCAGAAGCAGCCCTCTAGACCTAAAGGAACACCTTTCTCTATTAGCAGCATCCACGTGCGTCGACGCTGACCCTGTTAGCTCGCCCGCGCGCTCCTCGCATCACGAGCCAACTGGGAAGAGATCGCGAAGCAGATCCGCATCCCAATCGAAAAGGGTGAAGGCCTCACCCTTCCCAGCCGCGTCCCGCCCAGACACCTCGAGGCAGACCCGGTTGTGGCGGCTCGGACGCTCAAGGAGGTCCAGACAAGCCCAGACGCGCCCGGTCTTCTCGGTTCTTCACCCTCCCTCCTTCCTTGCGTTCGGCGGATTATTTTAGCAGCTCGGGGTTGTTCCGTTCTGGTGGCAGGAAAGAGCATTCAAACCGCCGGACTCCAGACTCAGCGGCGCCGGGATTGCAAAGAGAGGCGGGACAGTGGAGGGCCCGCGAAGGCAAAGAGTATTGTATGTGCAGGCGTCGGCAAGGAAGTCCCCTTTCCCCCATCCCGTCCCATCATAACCAAAACCACAGACGTCCTTATTTGTAGTACGTATTTTCTATATATGGTGTGTGTATATATATATATATACATATATGGTATATATATATGTACATATGTGTATATATACACACATAGAGGCCGCCCCCCCAGAAATCTAGAAATCTGGGCCCCTTCCCCGGGACTTGTTTTCAGCCGGAGTCGTTTTTTGACGGTCCCAAAGGCCCGGCGAGGGCCTCCAAAGACCGACAATAACGGAAAACCTGTCGTCGTGTTTTTTTCCACAGCGCGACGGGGTCTTGGAAACCAGACCCGCCCCTCCCCATGTACAAAATATCGCGTCCGGTGTGCTTCACGGCGCCCATCCAATCAAGGGCGCCGCTGCCGGCCAGGCCGCCCTGCGCGACCCTCATATTCCGCGGGCGGCACCCCGAGTGTCTGCCGCGCGGGCGCACTCCCGGCGGCCCAGTTCACGGAGGGTGACGCCCGACGCTTTGCGGGAGACGCCCGCCCTCCATCCCCCCTGGGAGGGGTCCACCTAGCAGCCCCCCCAGCTCGAAGCTCTCTCCTCCGCCTCGTCCTCCTCCTCCGCCTCCTCCTCCGCCTCCTCCTTTTCCTCCTCCTCCTGTCTTTCTCCTCCCCCTCCTCCTCGTCCTCCTCCTCCTCCTCCTCCTCCTCCTCCTCCTCCTCCTCCTCCAATCCTCGTCCTTGCCTCCAATCCTCGTCCTTGTCCTCCTCCTCGTCCTCGTCCTCGTGCTCGTGCTCGTGCTCGTGCTCGTGCTCGTCCTCGTCCTCGTCCTCGTCCTCCTCCTCCTCCTCCTCCTCCTCCTCCTCCTCCCTCTCCTCTGTTACGCTCCGTCCTCCCCCTCCTCCTCTATTCCTCTTCCTTGTGCAGAACTTTTCCCTGTCGCACCCCGAGGCCACTTTTTAGGGCGGGCCGGTCGTTTTGGCCTCATACTTCCTTACCATTTATGACCCTAAAGCTTAACCGACGGCAGCAGTTTCCAAGATGGAGGGCGGGTGGTTTTCAAAATGTGGCTCCCGCCTTAGCGCCGCGCGCATTGTTTTTTCCCAACCATCCTGTGGTGTTGGGTCCTCGTTTTGAAGAGACGGTGGCCCGCGTCTCCTCTCCTCCTCCTCCTCTCCTCCTCCTCCTCCTCCTCCTCCTCCTCCTCCTCCTCCTCCTCCTCCCACCATCATCGTCGTCATCACCGTTTCCATCCCTCACACGTTTCGTGGCCCCATAGGAGCTCCGCCGAGGCCCCAGTGCTGCCGCCCGCATGCGTCACCCACACCCAATTCGGCACACCCCTCACACGTTTCGTGGCCCCATAGGAGCTCCGCCGAAGGCCCCAGTGCTGCCGCCCGCATGCGTCACCCACACCCAATTCGGCACACCCCTCACACGTTTCGTGGCCCCATAGGAGCTCCGCCGAAGGCCCCAGTGCTGCCGCCCGCATGCGTCACCCAATTCGGCACACCCCTCACACGTTTCGTGGCCCCAGTGCTTGCGTCCCCACACCCAATTCGGCACACCCTCACACGTTTCGTGGCCCCATAGAGCTCCGCCGAAGGCCCCAGTGCTGCCGCCCGCATGCGTCACCCACACCCAATTCGGCACACCCCTACACGTTTCGTGGCCCCATAAGAGCTCCGCCGAAGGCCCCAGTGCTGCCGCCCGCATGCGCCACCCACACAATTCGGCACACCCCTCACACGTTTCGTGGCCCCATAGGAGCTCCGCCGAAGGCCCCAGTGCTGCCGCCCGCATGCGTCACCCACACACAATTCGGCACACCCCTCACACGTTTCGTGGCCCCATAGGAGCTCCGCCGAAAGCCTCAATGCTGCCGCCCGCGTGCGTCACCCACACCCAATTCGGCACACCCCTCACACGTTTCGTGGCCCCATAGGAGCTCCGCCGAAGGCCCCAGTGCTGCCGCCCGCATGCGTCACCCACACCCAATTCGTGAAACACTTAAGGAACGCGGAGCCCCTCCTCAACGAAAAGGGTTCCTTCTTCAAGGCCCCGACTGTACCACCTCTTTGGGCGCCCGAAGTGGGCACGGGAAACATGGACACGCTGCCCAACCATCAATGGTGTCCAAAACCGACGGCGGCCGCTGTTGGGCTGGCGGCCTTCTGTCTTGAATGGGCAAAGTCCGCGGCCACATCGACAACGAGTCCTGGACAAAATGCAGAGGAACTACTGTTTATCTTCGTACCCATTCTTGCTTTACCTAATCCGATCGTGCTGAACCTCCTCCTCCTCCTCCCCCACCTCCTCTCCGGTGCCTGTAGCAGCACCTCCAGCGCAGCCGTGGTCTCGCGCAGCTCTCGCTCCAGGAAGCCGCACCTCGTGGCCAGCGGCTGCTGCTGCGCCACCGCCGCCGCGGCGGCATCCCGTGCCGCCTGTGCGCTTGCCGCCTCAGAGCGCGCGTGAGAGAAGAGGGAGGAGGAGGAGGAAGGATGAGGCGGAGGGGGAGGTGGAGGTGGAGGAGGAGGAGGAGGAGGAAGAAACAGGCAGGAGGAAGGAGGAGGATGAGGAGGAACAAGGGAGGAGGAGAAGGAGGAGGAGGAGGAGGAGGAGGAGGAGGAGCGCCGGCACCTCGGGGGCAACTTGTAACTCTCCAGCCCGCGCCGGTGCCCAGCCTCGAGGCGCGCAGGGGCCTCAAGCGTGGGCTTCCAGATCGCCGGCGCGAGGGGGCGAGACTTCATGCGCAGCCTTTCAGGCTGTGGTGATCATGGAGCCAAGCACCATTGGACGGGGGGGGGCTTCTGAGCTGAGGAATGGTCGTAGGCCGACTCGTTCCCACTATTGAGGCGGATCAGAGGGCAGAGGAGGCGGACGACTATGACGACAGAGATGCAGAGGAGGCGGAGAGTAAACTCAGGATGCGTCAAACCCAGCCAAGATGAGAACCCCATTTGAGAACGCACAACCCTCCATCCGCATTTTTTCAAAGAAACAACAGCACGAACGTACAAAACACCAAGGCGAGAACCTCATTTTGAAACCATCAATGTTGCACCCGTGTCGCTGTCGAAAGCTTCAAATTTCGAAGTCGCACGTTGTGCGGTGGTATCCAGCGAGACGCCTGGCCCGCCATAGCAATATTTCTCGTCGTGCGGCAGGGCAGGCTTATTCCCCAAACAATCCTTGCTCTCAGGGTGTCTTAACAGAAAGGAATTGGTTGGGTGCGTGGAGGATTCGCCACGCTCTGGCCCGTTGCCGCTTCTTTGGGTGCGTCGATGACTCGCCACGTTCCCGCCCGTTGCCGCGTGGGTGATCGGTGTATGCGCGTAATGTTCGTCGCCCGATTATTTCATGACTGGCGCAGCTGTTCTGCCCCTTGTGGCCGCCTGACAGCCGTCGGACAAGTAGAAGCCATCGTCAAAGAACCAAGTGTGCCCTCCCTCCTGCTCCTCCTGCTCCTCCCAGCGCCTGATACCTGCGGGTACTCAAGGTCGCTCAGCGGTCTCTGGCCACCTCCAGTCGCCCCGCAGGACGCACAATCCCATCGAGGAGGATGAGGAGAAGTGGATCAAGACCAATCGATTAAATGACCCAGCGTACGCATTGCGAATGACATTTTGGCGTGCCAGTGTTGAACTAACTGAAGCAGCCTGCTGCCGCCGAACTGAACTGTCCCAAGGTGGCTTTTGCCCCTCGAAGGCTCCAGCCCTGCGGAACTGACTCGCGCCCCCTCCTCGCCTGAGGGGCTCAACTCCGGCGAGGAAGCACGACTTGCGACCCACGCCGCACGCGCTGTCACGCCGGCGGGCGGAGCACGTGCGGTCACGCGGGGGAGGGGGTGTTAGGAGGGGGAGGTCGGGCACGCTGCTTTAAAACAGACAGCACTCGCTGTCACGCCAGCAGGCGGAGCGCGTGCGGTCACCAGGAAACTCCTCGAGGCACCATCTGGCCAGGATGCGACAAGACATCGTGTTCAGCATGCCTCCCCTCCGTGCGCCTCAAGTTTTGTCCTCCTCGGTCCATCACGCGATGAAGGGCACGCCTGTCAAGCATACCCATACGACCACCCTTCGGGTGATAAGGAGGTTGTGGGGGTGGGGAGAGGGGGGGGGAACTAACGTCTGACTCAATCGATCTCACAATCCATCTCACTCAACGGGACACCACGGGACACCACGGGACACTCGTCGATCTGACTATCGATCTGACTATCGATCTCACTATCGATCTCACTCAACGGGACACCACGGGACACCACGGGCCAACACGGGCCACCACGGGACACCGCGCGACACCTCTCGATCTCACTATCGGTCTCACTATCGATCTCATTATTGATCTCACTCAACGGGACACCATAGGACACCACGGGACACCACATCGATCTCACTATCGATCTCACTATCGATCTCACTCAAAGGGACACCACAAGACACCGCGGGACACCTGTCGATCTCACTATCGATCTCACTCAACGGGACACCACGGGACACCACGGGACACCGCGGGACACCGCGAGCCACCGCCGGACGGACGGACGGACGGGCGGGGGAGAATAATTTGTCTTGCCTTCGCCCTAGCAACGGCGAACACCAACACCACGGGACACCACGGGACATCGCGGGACACCGCGAGCCACCGCCGGACGGGCGGGCGGGGGAGAATCATTTGTCTTGACTTCGCCCTAGCAACGGCGGACACCACGGGACACCACGGGACACCGCGGAACACCGCGAGCCACCGCCGGACGGGCGGGCGGGCGGGAGGAATCATTTGTGTTGACTTCGCCCTAGCAACGGCGGGCACCACGGGACACCACGGGACACCACGGGACACCGCGGGATACCGCGAGCCACCGCCAGACGGGCGGGCGGGGGAGAATCATTTGTCTTGACTTCGCCCTAGCAACGGCGGGTTCATTCCTCTCGCGCGCCCACGCAACTTCGCCTCGCCCGCACGCACGACACGAACGAAACGAAACGATTTGCTGGTTGGGGGTCTTCGTTCCAATACGATCTCACCCCCCAACCTCCGAATCAAACATACGCATACTATGAAGGGGCTGTAAATGCTGGCCGGCATCTGCACAACCGATGGGCAAAGCTTGCTACTGCAGCCTTTCGACGTTTTCCAGGCGCACTGAAACTGGGCCAGGCTAATAACGAGTGTAATCTCGCAGAGGACGAAGAAGATGCACGCACACATTCACAGATCTCGGCCTGGCTCATCCCGAGCCCAAGATCGGGGTATACGCCCTCCTGGCTTGGCCAGCGATCCTGGGCCCCAAGTGGGCTTGCACAGGATCTGTGTATGCGCATCGTTCCCTTCGCCCCCGATGATTCCCCATATTCTAAGATAGGGTTCTTGTCATTACTCAGGCGCCTTCGAGCGCATCTGTTCTGCCCCTGATGGCCGCCTGCCAGCCGTCGGACAAGTACAAGCCATCGTCAAAGGCCCAGTGCGCCCTCCCCCCATCTCCTCCTGCTCCTCCCCTCCATGCCAAACCCTGATACCCGCGGTTCCTCAAGGTCTCTCGGCAGCCACTGGTCACCTCTGGACTCCAGTCGCCCCGCGTCGAGGAGGATACGGAGGAGTGGATCAAGAACAAGACATTCATGTACCAAGTGTGCGCATTGCGAATGAAATTTTGGCGTGCCAGTGTTGAACTAACTGAAGCAGCCTGCTGCCGCCGAACTGAACTGTCCCAAGGTGGCTTTTGCCCCTCGAAGGCTCCAGCCCTGCGGAACTGACTCGCGCCCCCTCCTCGCCTGAGGGGCTCAACTCCGGCGAGGAAGCACGACCTGCGACCCACGCCGCACGCGCTGTCACGCCGGCGGGCGGAGCACGTGCGGTCACGCGGGGGAGGGGGTGTTAGGAGGGGGAGGTCGGGCACGCTGCTTTAAAACAGACAGCACTCGCTGTCACGCCAGCAGGCGGAGCGCGTGCGGTCACCAGGAAACTCCTTGAGGCACCATCTGGCCAGGATGCGACAAGACATCGTGTTCAGCATGCCTCCCCTCCGTGCGCCTCAAGTTTTGTCCTCCTCGGTCCATCACGCGATGAAGGGCACGCCTTGGCTGGGGAAGAGCTCAGAATCACGCTGCACGCGCTGTCACGCCGGCGGGCGGAGCACGTGCGGTCACGCGGGGGAAGCGTTTCAGGAGGGGGAGGTCGGGCACGCTGCTTTAAAACAGACAGCACTCGCTCTCACGTAAGCAGGCGGAGCATGTGCGGCCACCAGGAAGCTCCTCGAGGGTATCGTGGCTACGCCCTCCTCGTGGCACGCTCTGGCCAAGACGCGAAAAGACAAAAACACGTCTCGGATTCATAGAGTGGCAGATCGAACGGAAAGCATCAAGAATGCACATGCTGAGAGCATGCACCAGATCAACCGTTTGGATCTGGAGGGCCGCATTTTGATGGTCTGCTCATCCGCCCTGCAGGTGGGGAGCACACTGGCCCCGGTAGCGAGCGCCGGATGCTCGAGGGGGTCTCTGCCGCTGCCGCCCCTCTTCCCGCAAGGGGAGCGCTCAAAACTCCAAGTTCGGCCGCGCGAAGCAGCCGTCGGGCCAAACTGGCTTTTAATTTTGAAAGCTGGTTTTTGAATTCGACATATTCGGCCGCGTGAAGCAGCCGTCGGCCAAACTGGTTTTTAATCTTAAGAAACTGTTTTTTTGAATTCGAAAAACTGGTTTTTGAATTCAAAAATGGGTTTCTGAATTCAGGAACAGCATTTTTTGGGAGTTCAAAAACCAGTGACCCCGAGAGCGGAAGACGAGGTGAGGAGGGAGGCGGCCACCCAACCCCGAGACCCCAGGACGTCCTTGGATTTTTGGTGTGGGAGCGTCATTCTTCCCATAGCGAAGCCATCGAAACCCAAGAAACCTAGGGCACCCTGGAGGCAACAGGGTGTTTCTTGGCATGGGTCTCCGCTGTAGGCTGTGTGAAACAGTTTTCGGGCCACGCTAGCAGACAGTGACCCCGAGAGCGCAAGACGAGGCGAGAGGGAGGGAGGCGGCCACTCGCGAACGACGTCTCTTGCTGCCTTCAGCTCGACTTTTAGGGCTGCAGAAGCTCGACCAACATCCTGAAGAACCCATGGGAGCCGAAACCTGCTCGTATACCCGGGAGTGGCCGACAATGAAAAGCCCCGAGGCCCTGGACTGCCAGCCCGAGCTTCTACAGACTTCAGAACCCCTAAGAGCCTGTTATTCAAGACAGCGCTGGCTCCCCGCAAAACCAGGCGGGACCGAGACCGACACCCTAGCCTCAGACGCCTTCAGAACCGAAGCTGATACCCCTGGAACCCTTGCATGGCCCACTTCTGGAAGCGCCCACGCTAAGCTGCCCCGATACGCAACACGCGACACGTAGCGTATTGAGACAGAGCCCAACACGTAGACTGAACACGCAGGTCTGACGCGATACGTTCGCCAAAACGTGGGCCAATACGTTGAGCCAACACGCAACGTATTGACATGGACGTTTTGAACACGGCACGCGTTGCGCATCAAAACGGGCGTATCGAGGCAGCTAAGCGCCCAAGCAGTCGGGGGGCGCCCCTCTCCAACGAGCCGTTGGGTCTGCTCCACGTTGGCGAACCCCCGACTCGCTGCGTCGAGGTCTCGATGCTGGCTGTCGAGTGCCCGCGGGCCGAGGAGGCGCAGGTGGGGCATCCGTGCCTTAAGGGTGCGAACATGGACAGTGGGGCACTGTACAGGTCCACAGCTGCCCGATTGCTCCAGAAGGGGGTGTCGTGCGTATGTGCAGACGGGCGCGAGGTCAGTTTGGCTGAGGAGGAGGAGGCGGAGGAGGAGTTCAGTACCCAAGCCCTTCGAGATCGCCTATGTGCAATAGGAAGGGGGAGGAGGAGGAGGGGGAGGAGGAGGAGGAGGACGAGGAGGAGGAGGAGGAGGAGGGGAGGAGGAGGGAGGAGCAGGAGGAGCAGGAGGAGGAGGGAGGAGGAGGAGGAGGAGGAGGAGGAGGAGGAGGAGGAGGAGGAGGAGGAGGGAGGAGGAGGAGGAGGAGGAGGAGCGGCGGTAGGACCCGCAGCGAGGCGCCGTCACGTCGACCGCACACGCCCTCTGCGGCGGCCAGCACACCCCTGCCATTGGGCATCGCTTCGTTTGGCGGCGCGCACGAGGGCGTGACGCGACAGGCGCGGCCTTGTAAGACGCCTGGGGGGCTTCCAAGAGGGTACGGGGCTCCTTAGACGCCCACCCAACCTCGAAGAAGTCCTCCTGGGAGCGTCCGGGCGCTTCTGAGAAGGCCCCTGCCTTCTCAGAAGCCCCCCCCGCTTCCTCAGAAGTCCCCCCCCCTTTTGCGCGCCGCCACCCCTTTTGCGCGCCGCCAAACGAGGGAGGAGGAGGAGGAGGAGGAGAGGGAGGAGGAGGAGGAGGAGGAGGAGGAGGAGGAGGAGGAGGAGGAGGAGGAGGAGGAGGAGGAGGAGTACACGAAACTCTTTCTGGTGATCCAGTCAAGCAGGTTGGAACACCAGGAGTTCCCCGCCCCCCTTTTGCGCGCCGCCAGCTCGTGGGCGGGCGCTGCGGCCGGGAACTTTTGCTCCGCGTGGCGCGGCGGCGGCCCCGGCGACGCGCTGCGCCCGGCCAGCGGACGGCGCGTCGCTCCGCTCCGCGGGGCCGAAGCGCTCGGACAAAGCCTGGGACGTAGGCGCTGGGCGGCCCGGGAGGGCTCCTCCTCCTCCCCCTCCTCCTCCTCCCCCTCCTCCTCCTCCCCCTCCTCCTCCTCCTCCCCCTCCACCTCCTCCTCCTTCTCCCCCCGCGTGTCGCGCCGACGCGTGGTGGGCCAGAGTCGGCGTCGCGACCCGCTGTCCCAAAGTTCCCGACCGTAGTCCCCAAACCGTAATCACACAGGCGTTGCCATTCATGTTGGCCCCCCTTCTGTCACAGGAGAGCCCTGATATGGACCCCCTCTGTCACAGAAGGGCTCGATGTGCGTGTTCTTCTGCCGTGGGAGCTCCCGCTACGACTGGAGACGATAGACGCGGGGGGGCGAAGGAGCGTGCATCTCTCGTGCTCACTCAGGGCTCCGCTGGGCCCCTCTGGGGCCCCGAAGGTGAAAGAAAAGTGCACCTCCCTTCGCCCCCCCCCGCTCATCGCCCCCCCTCCCACTTTTCGGGCGTCGGCGGGGCTGGTGCCCGGGCCCTCCCCCTGCCTCTCCCCCTCCCACCCCGCCTCTCCCTCCCTCCTCCTCCTCCTCCTCCTCTTGCTCCTCCTCCTCCTCTTCCTCCTCCTCCTCCTCCTCCTCCTCCTCCCCCTCCTCCTCCCCCTCCGCCCTTTCGGGCGTCGGCGGGGCTGGGTTTAGAGGGACCTGCCTTTAATAATGTTTGCTGGGGGACGCCGCCCCCGCCCCATTCTACGAACCAGAACTTCCGCCACCCAACGTAAGAGCAGTTGCAGCAGACCTGGTTTGGCGAGTCTGGCCGATCTGTTGGGGCTTCGAGGCCCAATCACTAACTGGCTGGCTCACCCGCCGAGATGAGCATAAACATAAAATTTTGGCGCTCCGCGCAGATTTCTTGGATCTGCGCTGGACCCCCCTCCCTGGCGCGCGGAGTGCACCCGCGGCGGCGCCGGAGTCGCCGCCGCCAGGGCCCGGCGCGGATCCAAGAAACCCGCGCGGAGCGCCACAGCGCCACAGGCTTCTGCTTGTGGCGTGCTTCTTCTCCTTCAATGAGTGATGGGCTGTGCCACGGCGCCAGTGTGCCGGGGGGAACAAAAGGGGGGATAGCAACGGGTAGGGTAGAGAATCAGCTCACGCGGCTGATTTTCCCAGCGCCTCCCAGCGCCGGGAGGCGCCCATGCATCGAGGCATGGGCCTGGCGGCGGGGCCGAAACCGGCTTCCTGCAGCAGATTTCGCCAACCCCCCTTTTCCCTATCCCCCCCCCTCGCAGGCCCACTCACAGGCTCAGGGGCACGCCCGCCTGCAGAGCGCCCCACAGCGCCTCGCGGGAGACCCGCGGCACTGCCCGCGGCGCCCCGCTGGGGCCGCAGGCTCCCTCGGGCTGCCCCGGGCGGTCCTCGCCGACCGGCCAGGCAGGGCTCGCGAGGGGCTCGGCGGCGCCGCGGCCGCGCGGGGCGAGCGCGCGGGGCGGAGCGCCGAGGCCCGCGAGGCACAGCTCGGAGGGCCACGGGGTCGCAGGCTCGAGGGCCCTGGACCGAGCGCTGCGCTGCGTGCGGCTCGGGGGCTTGCCTGGTGTCGAGGAGCAAACAGGGGCACGGAGGCATAAGCTCTCGGAGGTGCGCGCGGATTGCTCGGATCGGCGCCGACCCCCTGGTGGCGCCGCCCCTGGCGCCGCCCCTGGCGCGCTCCGCGCGCCAGGGAGGGGTGTCCGGCGCCGATTCAAGGAATTTGCGCGGACCTCCAAGAATTTGCGATCATGCCTTTTTTTGTTCCTGCATGGTGGACTGGTCAGCTCCTGCCGGATCTCCTGCGGCCCATGGGCGAACTTGCAGGTCGCCCGCTTGCACCGGCCGCGGAGGAACGACCTGCACATGTGCATGCAGCGGAAGTCGGGGGCCTTCTTCAGCTCCAACACCGAGTGCGCGTAATCGCACGCGCTGCCTTGACGACATCTGCCTTCGGGGAAGAATGCGCACAATTTCGTCTTGCGCAAATGCACGGCAAGGTTCCCGCTTGTAGGTGCCTCGACATGGGCCCTGAGTGCAGTACGCATGGAAAACTATGTGCCGAATCGTTGGCGGCGAGCTGGACTTGGCCCTTCAGTCGGAAGGGCGACTAGGTCCTAAATCGCTACGGAAGGGGAAGTACGAGCAGGAAAATCTGCTACGACTGCATTGCCATTGACTTCGCTCACGGCTTTCCTGTCACCTCGTTGGGTGACTCCTCTTGGACATTGGCAGGTACAGTCACCGTGCTATCATCAGGAGTGCTGAATCAGGAGCTAAGGGGCTTTTCTGGCCATGTTGAGTCCCGCTCTCGTATAGGTCCACCAACCCAGAACCAAGGAGCGGTCCAAGAACCAGAGCCCCGCCTGAGCCCAAACCGGTCCTTATCTCGGCGACTTGACTGTAGGAGTGCAACCAAGAGGAGGATAAGGCACATAAGAAGAGGATACGTGCACCCAAGAAGGCGGATGAAGTGGAGCACAGACGGTCTGGGGGCGAGGGTGATGAGGCCAAGGACTAGGCGTAAGAAGAGAATGATGTGGCGGAGGCAGAGATGTTGCAGACCGATCTTGTAGCTTTGCTTGGAGTCGGGGAGGAGGAGGAGGAGGGGGATGCGGGAATGTAGTGGGGAGGACGATGAGGGTTGACAACGATGAAGGCTGCGGGCAGGGGCAAGAGCATGACGTTCATGGTGATGATGCTCATGACCATCATGATCAGGATGATCATTGTGTTGTGATGGCATTAGCAAGTCAATGGTAAAGATGGTGGTGATAATGTAGACGCCGATGACATGGTTGAAGATGACGAGCGCTGCAAGCGAAACCAGCGTGCGAGAACTATGTAGGAGCGCTTGGCCCTGCCACGCGACGCGCGCTCCACGAAGGGTGCATCGAGTTGCACGGCCCAGATTGCTTTGTGGCAGCCATGCTGGCCTCGGGAACTCGCCTGCGCTTTCGCAGCCGCGGGCAGAGTCGACTGCAGCCTCCTCGCGGTGCCTCGCGCGCTCGCTGCAGGCTCCCGGGGGGTGGGCACCCGCACGCAAAGACTGCCCGTGCCCCTGCTTGGACCAATGGGGGGATCGTCGACCTCAATGAACCCCCAGGCCGCTAGATCTTAGTGGGCCCCGGAAACGGCAGGGCCGTTTTTTCACCATTTCCGAAACAAGTCCCTTGAAAAAAGAAACGGCAAAAAAACGGCGACCGGAAACGGCAACAAAAACGGCTCTAAGATTGGAGCCAGAGCGGGAACCCGTAAAAGAACGGCGGCAGAACCGGCAAAACAACGGCGTCGGAACCGGCAACAAAAACGGCAAAACGGAACCGGTAAAAAAACGGCCCTGTCGTTTCCAGGGCCCGCTAAGCCCGTGCCCCTGCTTGGACCAATGGGGGGATCGTCGACCTCAGTGAGCCCCCAGGCCGCTGGACCCGTCGAGGCAGCCACCGAGACTCGCGCCCGAAGGGCCTCGCGCGCCGCTCTCGCCGGCCTCATCAGGCTAACACTGCGGACCCCAGGTCGATCGAGGACCCTACGGCTGGCTTCGTGTCGTGACGACCGGGGCCCTGGTGTCGGACACCGCGCGGGTCGTTCCACCTGGGGCGATCGGCGGCTTGTCGATCGCCAGATCGTTGCATGTTGGCCGATTCTGGGCCATCGATGGCGCTCATCTCTCTCTCTCTCTCTCTCTCTCTCCCCCTCTCTCTATATTTACACACATACGACGACGACGACCACGACGACGACGACGTCGTCGCCGTCGTCGTCGTCGGCGTCGTCGTCGTTCCATGTTGGCCGATTCTGGGCCATCGATGGCGTTCAACGCTCAGCCGTGAGCTCCCGCGCCGGGGTCGCCGGCGCGACGCGAACCTGCCGTGTTCCTTGTAAAACAAGCGCCCCGCCTTGCCTGGCGGCCCAAGTCCTTAGGATTAGGTCGGGCATGTCCTCCTGCAGGCGGATTTGTGAAGACAAATGAGACACAGTCAGAGCATAATCACAGAAAGAGTCAAAACGATCGCCCCCAGACCATTTTTGAAACTGCCTTTGAATCTTCCTCCTGCAGAGGGAGAGGCCCGAGTTAACCTTAGGAGCAGGAACCTGCATGCTGGAGCTCCTCCCGATCGTGAACGTTTTCTGATTCGGCGTTTCGACATTGGGCAAAAGGGGGGGGTGTCTGGCTCTGGACCCCAGCTTAGTGCGACTGTTTGCAACAGCGCGTCCTACGGCGGAGGCTCCCCCTGCTCGAAACAGGCGCCAGAGACAGCCATTATCTACTCCCTGGGAGGAGTGGGGTGCGCGAGGACCCGCGCCGATCGGCAAAACAATGAACAAGTGGCACGCGGGCCCCGGCTCTTGCACCAAGGAGCTGCCAGGGACAGGAGGCTTTCGCCTCCTTCCTCCAGGAGCTTCCCTCTGTGGCCGGGGGAGGAGGGGGGAGGACGAACGACGCACGACCGAACGACGACGACGAGAAGAAGGAGGTCTGAACTCCAGAACACAGCTGTGCAAGATAATCAAAAACCGCTCCCCCAGGAGCAGGGACCTGCCTGCCCAGACCCCCGGCGTCAAGATTTTTGTCATGACGTCGGCCCCCACGGGTGTCGACTCATTTCCACGGGCCCGCTTTTCATCCCGAGCCGTTTTTTGACGGCCCCGCGGCCCGGTAAGGGTCCCCAAAGGCCGAAAATTGTGAGAGACCTTCCGTCGTGACTTTTTCATTGCTCGAGGGGGTCTGCCTGCTGGAGCTCCTCCCGCTCCCGCAGCAGGCTCGCTCCCGCTCGGGCGGCCGCCGCGGCGGCCTGCCTTTGGCCCCGCGGGAGCGCCGCCCGCGGCAGGAGGAGGAGGAGGAGGAGGAGGAGGAGGAGGAGGAGGAGGAGGGAGGAGGAGGAGGAGCGGAGGAGGAGGGAGAGGGAGGAGAGGAGGGAGGAGGAGGAGGAGGAGGGAGGAGGAGGAGGAGGAGGAGGAGGAGGAGGAGGAGGAGGAGGAGGAGGAGGAGGAGGAGGAGGAGGAGGAGGAGGAGGAGGAGGAGGAGGGGAGGAGGAGGAGGAGGAGGAGAGGAGGAGGAGGAGGGAGGAGGAGGGAGGAGAGGAGGGAGGAGGGAGGAGGAGGAGAGGAGGAGGGAGGGAGGAGGGAGAGGGAGAGGAGAGGAGGAGGAGGAGGAGGAGGAGGAGGAGGAGGAGGAGGAGGAGGAGGAGGAGGAGGAGGAGGAGGCGGAGGAGGAGGAGGAGGAGGAGGAGGAGGAGGAGTCCCGAGACGGGGCCGTCGGACCCGCGAGCTGGCGCGCCCCGGGCCGAGGACGCCCTGCTGCCCGGCGCGGGCGGCGCTCTCGGTGCCCAGGGTGCCGCCCAGGGACACACGCCTGTGTGTGTTGTGTGTGTGTGTGTGTTGTGTGTGTGTGTGTTGTGTGTGTGTGTGTGTGTGTTGTGTGTGTTGTGTGTGTTGTGTGGTGTGTGTGTGTGTGTGTGTTCGTTCGTTCCCCCGCCTAATGCGGGACGCCGTATCTTCACACCGTCTCAACCCAAACCGCGCGCCAAGGCAAACGATGCAGGCGGCGGTGGGTGAGGGGGAAGTACGTGGGTGGGGCACGGTCCGCTGTGCAGCCACCCAACACCAAAATACGCACCCCGCACGCCGCTTTTGAAAGCACCCAGCCGCCAGGACCGGCCCCTTCCCCGCACTGGTGGAGCCAACCTACGCACAAACACACGCGACGCAAGACAACCACGGAGCTGCAGCCGGCGCTGCATGCATCCCGTGCTGTGTGCGCGCTGTCTCGGCGTGGAAAGCTGTCAGTCGGTTCCGGGTGGCGTGATGGGGCGCACCTGCACCGCGCGACTCCGCACAAGGATCACGGGAGCATGTGGGAACGCTGGTGGGTGAGAGCGCGTGTTTGAGCCACCCATGTGTGTGTGTGTGTGTGCGTGTGTGTGCACAGCCAAGCCATCGCTGCACCAGGAGGCACCCATGGATACGAATTCGCAGTAAAACGTATCATTAACCTCGGACCTGTGTTCCCGTGCGGGGTCCTGGCCGAGATACGCCAAAACTTCACTACCCAATTCGGGCAGCCACGGAGAGAGGAAGAGGAGGAGGGAAGAGGAGAGGGCCGGAGGGGGCAGTGGGGCACGCGGTGGCAGCAGCGCAATGCTGCACGCTCCGCCGATGCCGCAAAAAAACCGAATCCGGTGTAACGCCAGCCGGCCCTGGCGACGCGACGGGAGAGACCGGCGTCGTCGTAACGCCCGCTCGCGGCGAGACGTCAGCAGGGGTACGCCAAAACTGCACTGCCCAATCCAGGCAGCCATGGAGGGAGGCAGAGGGGGAGGAAGAGGGAGGGCAAGGGGAGAGAGAAGAAAGGGAGAGGGGAGGAGCACGGCGCCACGCCGCACCGCGCAACGCATCACAGCCAGCGACAGGTGCGTGCGTGCGTGCGTGTGTGTGTGTGTGTGTGTGTGTGTGTGTGTGTGTCTGTGTTGTGTCTGTGTTGTGTCTGTGTTGTGTCTGTGTTGTGTCTGTGTTGTGTCTGTGTTGTGTCTGTGTTGTGTCTGTGTTGTGTCTGTGTTGTGTCTGTGTTGTGTCTGTGTTGTGTCTGTCTGTTGTGTCTGTGTTGTGTCTGTGTTGTGTCTGTGTTGTGCTGTGTTGTGTCTGTCTGTGCTGTGTCTTGTGTGTGTGTGTCTGTGTTGTGTCTGTGTTGTGTCTGTGTTGTGTCTGTGTTGTGTCTGTGTTGTGTCTGTGTTGTGTCTGTGTTGTGTCTGTGTTGTGTCTGTGTTGTGTCTGTGTTGTGTCTGTGTTGTGTCTGTGTTGTGTCTGTGTTGTGTCTGTGTTGTGTCTGTGTTGTGTCTGTGTTGTGTCTGTGTTGTGTCTGTGTTGTGTCTGTGTTGTGTCTGTGTTGTGTCTGTGTTGTGTCTGTGTTGTGTCTGTGTTGTGTCTGTGATGTGTCTGTGTTGTGTCTGTGTTGTGTCTGTGTTGTGTCTGTGTTGTGTCTGTGTTGTGTCTGTGTTGTGTCTGTGTTGTGTCTGTGTTGTGTCTGTGTTGTGTCTGTGTTGTGTCT